AAAGTCCAATTATTTATACCATATCTTGTCGCACCGGTACAAGAACCGTATATAGCGAGATAATGTCTCCAATTTTTCATTTTATTTAATGAGGCATTCAAAGTGTATCTCCCGTGGATTCGGCAGTGGGAAGAAAGAATTATTTTTAGGGAAGGTGGGAAGAAGATAATAGTGTCTACGTACATTGTATACCTGAGATGAATATAGAAAAATATAAAAGATATTAGGATATGGTCTCAGGAAAGAGATCACAATCCAAAATGCTTCGTTATACAACCGAAGTGATCGAAACTAATAATGTCAACACCTTCCTGGGGGGAGGTTACCACTGCTTTAGCTGTATTGCAAAGAGACGGCTGTCGGGAATGGTGTGCATCGATCTATGCATACAGAGAGAAGTGAATAGTGAAGTTTGCAAATATTTAAAGGAAATTCTCATAATTTGTCATGCACCCTCTTTAAGCAAAAAAGCCGCAAAATTTTTGCTATTTTATTTATTCTTTTCCTTCGTTTTAGTTTCCTTTTGATTTTTCATTTCCCTGCTCGTCTGGTGATATATATTCATTCAGTGGGTACTGCTGTCAGTATTGATAAAAATCACATTTTCCATTTGAATAGAATTTTATGAATTCGTGCATAAAATTATTTCTCTCTTTGGATTTGAAATACATGCATACACACATTTATACACATAAACACGCATACACATATCCCAATCTCTTAGCCACACAGTTTCAATGAACATTTCTTTCATGGATGACAACAGCGGCGGAGAAATAAAATGAGCTACAAAATGTTGTGGAATTTTCTTATTACTGGTATATACAACATAGGTATATGTATATATATATATATATGTAGCTGTAGCTTTCATATAGCAATGCATATAAGCGTAAGTATATATGTATTTATATTTTCTATAGATATTAGTGGGAATGTTGTAAAACAAGAATGTGTTGTTGTAAAATAAAAATTACAAAATTTCTTTCAATTTTTGACATATTGTATAAATATAACGGAAAAATTATTTTTAGATTTTATTTAACTGATAACTTACTGAGGTGTAAGTAATTTTTATTTGTTATAGATTTACACATGAGAACATAATTTTATAGAGAGGAATTTGAAATTAGAATACCAGTCAATAAAATTAACGTTGAAAACTTTACTTGTTAAGTAAGGAATTTTAAAGAAAATATTTCAATTACGACGTAAACGTTAGGGATTACATTAAAATCAAATCATGCAACAGTTAGTAATCATTCGATTTTAATCGATTACAACTACAACAAAATAGATAAGAAGTACGGCATGATTTAGGATTGTTTGCTAACAAAACGCTTCTCTTCTCCATCCAATAATTATTGGAAATCGTGTGCAGCGCTGCAGAATAGCTGTTCTGTGAAATAATCTACAAGAATATTGTTTTTTCTATACTGCCCAAGTTTTGTGGGTCGCTCTTTCGTCTGAGCCTTAAAATTGCTAGGGTATTACGATGCCTTAACCATAACTTTTTGTAACATATCTCATACATTTGTTTCAAAAACCCAGTCTTTCAGCTTAAGTTGAGATTAGTAAATAGCTATATATACTAACTTTTGCTTATGTTAGTTTATTAATAAGTTTTTCCAAGTCTTCCCATTTGCTTTCGAGCGAACATTATTCGGAGATTTAACAATTTACAAGTAGATAGTCTTTATGGGATAGCATTATTATTTCAGCCAACCAAGATTTAAATCTACTTTATGGGGTTAATTTGTCAACCTCAGAAGCTCTCCTCCAAGTAACACAATAATTTTCAAACTAAAGAAACGCATCGAAAAATGTCTGTAAATTAAATGCTATATATATATATATGTATGATATTGAACGAAGCTATTTTGTGTCCTATTTTTGGATATCTAAAGATCTAAATAACAGGTAAAGGGAAGAACCGCGTCGTAAAAGCGCAAAGACAAACTCACTATTTGAGGACAGTCGAATATCGTATATAAAGAAATGAAGAATATATTTAAACAAATTTTTTTAAGTGAACATATGACGTTGTGATCGTGAGATCGTTTTCTATAGTTCGTTTTCATAGTTTTTTTAACTTTGTATCTAGTTTAGTATTTGAAAATAACTAAATCACAATCCCTCACAATCCCGTTGCCACTTATGGAGACAAAATTCGAAATTTTTTGTGCACCGACTCATTTTTGTCTTTTAGTAAATGAGTGGAGCAAGCGTAGTATCCCAATCCACGCAAAGTTTGAATGTTAAAAATGTATCAGGAAATGTATCAGGATTTGACATCAAAAATCGACAGTACTTCCATGCATACTACTCGCCTGATAATCCTAATCTCGTTATCCCTCTCTATTTAGAAGCTCAACCCAAGACCGATAAGAAAAGCACTAAAACTGGAATAACTTCTCAATTAACTTTTCTCTTGGCTTCCACAGAAAACTGAGAAGCAATTGAGGCGAAATTTTTGTGGACGAAACTCTCTGCTTTGCTTTTACATCATTTAAGCACATCATCTAGCAGTTTTCCTATCTTTTCACAGTTTTCTACTTCGACACTTCAATTGACGACCTTGGGAATCTCTCTAGCTTGCAATTCTCTAGCAATTAAAATAGCATTATTACGACTCTTCGATTCTAGGCTAATTTAGGCAACCAAGCCAACTGGCGAACTAAACGAGCTACTCTGACTTCTATCTATGATAATTGCTCTAACCCACTCGAATAACAATTATTTCATTTTCAATCTCAATCGTTACACCATTAATGTCAACTTTATCCAATTAACAGACATTTACCTTATTTCCATGAATACATGTACAGCGAAATTGTTAAATTAAGCATTAAGTTTAAATCAAATAAAAGGAAAAAAGCGAAAGTAACATTACATAAAAAAAAAATATATATATATATATATATATAAAAAAAATGCAAACATTAAAACAATCTAAACAAAAACAGCAAGAGACCAAAAGAAATTAATCGCATTATCGCCCAAAATACACCAACAGATGACATCCGAGAAACATAATATAAATAAAATAACAGAAAATAAGAAGGGATTAGTAAAAAACCATCCCACCCCTAAATAATGTTTTTTTTTTGAAAATAAAAACAATTTTACGGTAAAGTTAAAAAATTACAAATACTCAGCAAAAGGCAAAAAGGATACAAAAATTGCAATGACATGACCGTTTTTCTCTCCGCAAAAACTATGGCTCAGCATTCAACTTCAACAACAGATTGTGGTGGTTTGATCAGATGATGTGAATTATGTGACATTGATTTGTTTTGATTAAAAACTCACGCACACGCAGTTATGTCATATATGTGAAATTAACCCTCTCCACGAAAGAAAGGCGAACGGCCACATGTGGTTCATTCATGTTGTTGATGCGCTTACATTTTTACGACATCATGAATTCTTTTTTTTTTAATTAACTAAGTAAAAAAGTTTTTATGTTCTCTTTTTCGTTTTTTTTTTTTGGTGGAAAACGTTCAAGTTTTTTTTTCCATCTCTCTAGCTATCCTCCATGTCAATTATATAAGAGAGACAAAAAATTTGTTGTCTACTTACCAGGGTCTGATGTATCTAGGACAGGTGGTTGTTGAGATAAAGGGCCAGGTGTACTACCAGCGCCCGGCGATCTAGCGTCATCGTTCATGGCACCGCCATATGATAATGATGAACTAGGAGGCCGCTGTAAACGAGATAATAAAAAGAAAAACCAATCGTTACACAATAGCCAAACAAAAATTAAGAAGTGTTGATAATTATAATAAAAATTAAAAAAAAAATTGTTGTTAGTGTAAGTAGTTTTAATACAAAAAAAAAAAAAAAAGAGAGACAATATACAGGGAGTTTTTGAAAGCCTTTCATTCTTATCATTGCATAGATACTACTACGCTTTCTAATTTTATAGATATATGCTCAAGAGTTCAGTGTCCGATAAACCTTTAGTAGATAAAAATTTTTAAGAATTTCAATAGATTTTTAACTTTGCTTCCGCCTGTTTTCTGAGGGGTTTAGTGGTTTTGTGGCGGTGGAGGTGAGCAGATGGAGATGTCGTACAAGTTGAAAAAAGCAGTTTACGGATCAAGTCCTCCTCGTAAGGAAGGCTTTTATTTTCTGCTTTCGCTCGACTAAATTTGCGGCCGGGGCTAATCGTATACTCTCACATACTCTCTCTGATGGGACTACTATTAGTGAGTGATTTCATTAAAGACAGACAACTTGAAGAAGTATCTTATCCATAGCAAAAATCTGCAGCCATAATTGAGTATAACTTTTATAAGCAAAAGCAAACGAAATGAGATAAATAAATATAAAAATCTTTAGCATAATAACAAAATAGCCGACGGCTCGAGATATTGATAATAAGCGCACACTTTATTGAAATATCTCAACTTAAAACTAATAATTTTATTGTCAGGCATGGGCGTGTCAATATCCCGCGTATTTGTATTTTAAAAAAATTGTCGTTTAAAGTTTTCGCTTACTGTACGCTAAGATTAGCGAAAGAGCATTTGATGCATTTGCTGTCTTGAGACAATTTGCAAGCAATGGTGAAAAGTTAAGAGAATGTAAAGTGAAAAAACTCATATCGCTCAGAATTATTCATAGCTTAAGGGCTTATGCAGAGAGCTCTAAGGAGTTCTGCAAATGAAAGCACTAAGCACATAAGCTCCGTAGGAGAGTTAATGGATCGAAAGGTTCCCATCGCCCATTTAATTAATATGTTTTGTATTTGTACCGAGTTTTCTTCGGCGCTAAGATAATCAGAGCATTCGAAGAATTTAATTATAAATAAAAATTAATTTTGCATAATATCCTAAATATGCATACATACATATATTATTATTATTATTATTATTTTTATTATTTATTTATTAGAGCTGAATTAAGCTTCTAAGTAAATGACGGATATAGGAAATTATTTCCGGTTAATGAAAAATTATAAGCACCAATTAAAAGATTGTAAATGTTCAAAGAAATACATTAACAGATCGTTACAATATATTTTGTTTTGTTGTTTTTTGTTTTTTTTTTTTCTTACATTTAATTGTTTATTTGTTTAGATTTTTAATAACGAAGTTCTAAAGGTCAACATGATAATAATAATCCATATGATCGTTTCAGAGTTTTATGATCACTTGTAACTATTTTATGATGCTTTTAAAAACTAATTAACAATGAAGTGAAAATTTCAAATTAATTTTTTTTTTTCTTGTATTTTGTTGTGATGCTATGGTGATAACTACAAAGCAATAGAAAAAACAAATAAAAGAAAAAAACAAGAAAAAAAAAAAAAACACAAAAAGAAAATTCAAAGAGGTTTTAAACAAGCGAAGCAATTGAAATAAGAAAGTTGAAAAAAAGTTTTTATTAGCAAAAAACACTGAAACAAAAACGCCGAATACTTCATCTTCTTCGTATGCATGCATATAATATAATCTCCAAAACATATGCATCAGGTGAACAATTGTAAAGTAAGGGCAGACGAGCTATTTGTGGGGCCAAACGGGGGAACGCATTTAAAGGCATATACCGAGATATATAAGACTTTTGGAAAATGTCAAGTAGGTAGCTTAACGTTAACACGATTGTTTGATTCTCTTATTTTATTTATTTTTTATTTTTCATTTTTTTTTTTTTGTTTTGTTTTGTTTTTGTTTTCATGAGATTCATGGTGTATTTCATTTTAATAAAATTCACAGCACGCAACTACCGACAAACAGCTAAAAATACTTGAATAAATACTCAACTCATACGCTGTTATGGTACTTTGGAAAATTAAAAATCCGAGAAAAGAAAAAAAACACAAAAAAAAAAAAAAAGAAGCAATAATAAAAACCTCTAGCGAATATCAAAATGTAAACTTAAGATACTCTTGAACTTTAAATGAAACAGTGGTGGTGGTGGTGGTGATGGCGATGGCGATGGCAATAGTAGTAGCAGTAGTACAAAACAACACCAGTCAAGACATAGTAGTAGTAGTCGGTGTGCATGGCTGTGTCTTGTATTTAGTGTATTTGTTGTTAGCGAGTGAAGGTGTAGCGTAAATTAAAATGAGAAACATATCGCTAAAGAACTCCTGCCGTTTGGGTTCATTTTACAAGGATGTGAACCTACAGCACACAAACAACTGAAGTAAACGAAAGAAAGAAATCTTTAAAGAACAGAACAACAACAAAAATGAAAAAAAGAAAAAAAAAATAGAAAGAAAACAATAATAATAATAATAATAATAATAATCATAATAATAATAATAATTCTTTCTAAATTTGTCTATCCTTTCAGTCAGTTAGTTAGTTAGTTAGTTAGTTAGTTAGTTGCACTTGAACTCTCTCCTTCTCTCTCTCTCTCTCTCATAAGCATTATTAAGCATTATGAGTCAAGTTTATATTTAGCAAAATATTTATTTAATAATTCATATTTCCATACACATAATAATGCGTCCGTCTAGGTCTGATGCCTGATGATTTGATGTACACCATACATATATATATATATATGTACGTACGCGCTCTAGCTCTAACATTTTGTCATGCCATGTAATTAGTATGCAATTAACATTCGCAAAAAACACGGTTTAGTGTGTGTAAAGAGAAACTAATCGTAGGCATATTAATTTTCTTTCCTATACTTTATGTTGTCTATATATACAAAATGTCTGTCAAGAAGACCAAGAGGAATAGCTAATGTGCTTCTATTTATCTATCATTGTGTGTAAATACGATATATATATTCGTGTTTATATGCTTGTGTTTGTATTATATGTGCGCACATATGTACACATAAAACAATAATAATAAGAAAAAAATAAAAAAAAAATAAAAAAAAAAAATAAAAAAAAAAATAAAAAAAAAACAACAAACAAACACCATTTATAGTTAAAAAGTCTAGACAATTGTTGCTTTCCTTTTCAAGAGAGTTAGAGTTAGAAACGTTAATACATTACACAGCAATGAAAGGCAAAATGTAGAAAATCAGCAGAAATGTCAATTAGACATTCTGTAAAAAAAAAAACAAAAAAAAAAAAAGGAAAAAATTGATGACACTATGACATTTGGCGGCTTTACATAAAAAGCTACTTTTATAATAACTTTTTAAGTTTCTGGTTTCTTTTTTTTTCCAATTTTTTTAATAAACTTTTTTCATTTCTTTATCATACATATACACAAATACACACACATATATATATATATATATATATATATTTAAATGTATATGTACTTAGTAGTATAACCGTACAAATAATTGACATTCATTGTTGGTCTGTTGCTATTGTTATTGTTGCTTTAAAGGCCTACGTATATTTTGTATAATGTATTTTTAATTATATTAATTACACCTCTATTCAAAACGTGTCTACATTTGCATAAAATTGACAAAAAAAAAAAAAAAAGAAACAAAGAAAAAACGCTTTAAACCTGAAACATCAAACGAACCAAGAGACGAAATAACAAAAAAAATTTTGAAAAACATCTCTATAAATTTTATATACATATATATGTGTGTGTATGTATAATAAATTAAAAACAGAACATTTAATAAGAATCTTTTATCATTTAATAACCTTTAAATTGGCATACAATTTATTGCACTGACAATTCGCCCGATTTCGGTTTCAAAGATTATAATTAAGGAACAAGTAAAGACATTGCAGCATGGCACGACAAACCATTAAATACCCTACGCCATTCTGCAGTCGTCAATATGTCGATTTTTCAAAATAACGCTTCCACTTACCATAATGTTGTTCAAAAAAAAAACAAAACAAACCGACGGGCAGAGCAAGAGCGATCAGTATAATAAAAGTCATTCTGCGTGTTGCATACCGTCGCATAAACCTAACATGCTCTTGCACCACAAGTGGTGTATCATATAAAAACTTATTTATATATATTCTTGAATCAAAAAGTATCAGAGAAATAATTAATCAAATCGCGTTTAAATCTTTGCTTTCAGTAATATGTTAGCAGCGAAATCAACCGAGCGGAAATGTTTAAAGAAGTTCGCATTTGCAAAAATTAATTCGATTAAATCAATGTTTTCTTTTTATATCCGCCATCGAAAAATTTTCATTTGGCTAAAACTTCAGCTTCAGAGACCCGACGATAGCGTAAATACATTCTTGATCTTCAAGTATATGAGATAAAAACATTGAAAGTTCTTGCAGCGACTATAGCGAATAAAGGAAGCGTCTACAGTGCAGTATAAATTGAGAATACCTCTGCTTATTGGCTTGTTTGATAATGAAACAAAATCAGCCACACCCACTTAGTACTATAGTGTGACGAAACTTAATTTTGTGCCAGCTTTTTCAGATTCCATCATAGCCGAACATAATTTTCTTAATTTCTTTCTCGATTTTCTATTTCCCTTCTTCAAGTCCGAGGCGTGGTCAAAGAAAAGGTGTGGTTTATTTTTCTCGAAAAATATTTATTTGTTCATTAACATCAACTTCGTTCGTATCAGATACGAGATACTCGTAAGTAAATCAAGATAGATTTAATGGCATATGAAGAGCCGTTTAATTCTACTTTAAGTTCCAGTATAACTCAAGTTAACCCCTCCATGGAGTTCGCAGATTTCACTCTGTTTTTTTTAACTAAAACGTACCCAGGAAATTTTGCTCCACATTTTCGTTATAAAATAGTTTTGAACAACTTTTTGAGCAGCAAGAATACGAATCAT